AAACGTTTTATGGAGTGGCTGAGAAAACGGGTACAGTAATCTGCAGGGACTTGGTGTCTTAGGACAAACCAACAGCAGCATTAAGAAAACAAATATGCAAACAATATAATTATATTGAGGGTATAAAAGAATGCAGATAACTTGGTCACATACCCTGTTGAGAACTACCAATTCAAGGCTATGGGTTCCAGTGCAATTACTGTAATTGTCCTCTGTCACCCCCTGCCCCAAACTGTGCACATCTGGGTAGGTTACAGCTGGGTGCCTGGCTCAGGGCCTGAGCTGCATGGCCTTGCACCAGCCAGAAACATCCACACCTGAGGTGGATCAACTACTGATCTATCTACACCAGGAGCAGGTGTGAATGGTTCCCAAAGAACTAGGTGGGAGAGGACCATGCTCCCTGCACCCTTGCAGCAGGCAGCGTTCTTGTGCATATCAGCAAGATGACATCTCTCTGCTTTGTTCCTTGGATGTACCACCATGCCACACAGATGCCTTTGTCCAAAAGCTTCCTAGAGGGACAAGAAGACCTTAGGTTTGTCACCTCCTCTTACAATGCAAAAAGCTCTGTTATTTCATTTGGTGGCATTGCTGCCCCAGAGCCCCCCTGCACGTGCTCCCAGGAGTGCTAGAAGGGGTGCTTGCCATCTGCAGCAGAAGCAAACCACTGACCAAAGGGCATTAACCTGGTGGCTAACAAAGCCAGGCCTCAAAGCATAGGCACCTGCTGGCTGGCTTAGAAGGACAAGCTTCATACTACCACAAGCAGGAATAAGGACTTAAAAGATTGCTATGACAAGCTTCTTAAAGAAGCAAAATTCTGGTCTGCCCTTCCCCAAACACATAATACTGCAGAATAGGAGAAATTCTACCTTTCCAAGCCAGTCAGTTGCAGCGATTACCTACAGCAGAGGCTGAAGGGTGAAAGGAAAAATCCTTTTTTGACATCTCTGGTACTCAGTTTAGCTTTTAGAACATGAGACAGTCTGTCCTCACCTCGGCATGAACAGTGTCAAGCTCATACCCAGTCCCTTTTACAAAACTAACCCTAATTCACCCATTCCCTTTCTGCTGCATCTCTGTGAACACAGGGACAAGCCACAGCCTAGGGATTTTTTTCCATGGCACCACTACTGCAAACATGTACAAGCTGTTACCTGCATGCATTTTCAGCACAGCCATATATGGGCCCTTCCTAAAGGAGCTTAAGAAAGTGCTAATCTTCCTTGAAGTTTTTTTAGAACTGAGGTAGGGTCAAAAGAGATTTTTTTAAAGTAATTTCATCTACTTACTCCTCTTAGAGTCTTCCTAGAAGACCCAGACGTCTTAGGAGCACCCACTGAAGATGATGTGGTTAACTATCCCAGCACACAGTGCATGAGGTCAGTACACACTGAGCCTCTCCAGCACATTCCTCTCTGAAGAAAGTGGGGAAAATGTGGTTGTATGTGGGACTTGTCTCCTGGTGATGCCTCATATTCACCACATAAAATAAACAAAATGGAAGCCAATTTAGCAGAAGCCCTTGTGAAATCATTTTCACCATTTCCAGGTCCAGTTTTAACATCTGTTTGCCTTTTCCCAGCTAACCTGGAAGCAGGGTCCTGCTTCCTGCCTCCTCCCTGTTTCCACCCCAGGCCACTGGGGAAGGCATCTTCGTTCCTTTAACATGTATGGAAACCAACCTATAGACAAAAGGGATTTGCTCACAAGTGCATAAATTTGCAACACAACGGAACCAGACAGGGTGTCCCACTCTAGCCATTACACCACATCAGGAAAAAATGCTGCTGTGCGTGCTCAAAGACAGGGGCTACTCTAATTTCTTTAATGAAATACGAGTGTCTGGGTACATTACAGGTATCATTCCAGGTCCTTCAGTTCTTGCTCGTTCAGGACTTGATCGAGCTGGCTTTGTGTCTTCTGCAGGAAGGTTTTGCAACCTGTCTGAAAGCCTGCCCTGGCAAGTTCAGCACTCTCCCCGGCCGCACCCCAAAACTGCTAGAAACAAGTCAAATAAAGCACTACAGCACGGGCTAACTTTGGTTTCCCGGGTGGTGGATTTTTTGGTATATTAATAACCAAATCCCCTTTCCGAGTACAGGAGCAAAGCTTATGCTCTTCAGGGGCACCAGGCAACTGGACCAAAGGTAAAAACAGAGGCAAGGGCTCAACCTGCCCCCTTTGCCAGGTCTTCTCCTGACCTGGGACGGCCCTCGGCTGAGCAGTGCGGCTTTTGGGTGCCTCCTACCATCACCTCCCCGACCGGCACACGGGCTCCGAGATGCCTGCCGCAAAGCGGAGCGTGTTCCCCCCGCGGCCCCCCAGCACCCCGCGGAAGAGTCTGGCGGGTTCCACCACCACCGCTGCCGGGACCCCGCGGCTGAGCCCCCCCGACCCTG